CCCATGCTGGGGTTCTCTGGGGTGGCTGTGTGGTCAGCTCCCAGGAGCAAGCACTCCTCAACTTTCAGATCTTCATCACTGTGCCAGGCAGGTGTCTGGATCCATTTCAGAGGCAGAAACTGAGGCTCCCATGTTCAGGTGAGCACTCCTGGCTACTGTCCTCCTGTTACCAGGTCACCCTGGTGGGGAGCTCAGCCCTCGGTCCATGGCCTGGCCTGGGATGTGTCATCATCGATTCATGGGCACAGGGGCAGCCACCCTGGGGGATGGGCATGAGTGGCGGGGACCAGGACAACCCTGGCTCCATTGAGCCTCACTCCCTGGCTCACACACTGGGGTGACAGTTGGGTGACTTGATTCCTCCCCCAGGGCACCATCATGAGGCCTTGGTGGCTAGTGCGTCACTGGTGCAGGGTCCCACACAGGAGGAACATCGTGCCCAGGTGGGGTCCTCCAGGGCAAGAGAAGGGACCAGACCCTTCCCAGGGGTTGCAGAGGGGGCTGACTGGCCACTGTCTCTGATGTCACTGGGGAAACATCTATCCTCAGATCCTAAAGCTAGAAAGGTCCTTAGGCCAGAAGGGGCTGGCCAAGGTGCCGTGAGCCAAAACCAGGGTGCAGGGTTTGGTGCGGGCAGCGGCGATACCGTAGGTGAAGACAGGAGGTCTGAGTAGCCGCTGGGCCTGGGACAAGTGAGTAGGATAAGGCAGAGGCCAACCCAAGCGGGGCCTGACTCCTGCAAGCACCGTAGGGATCCTGGAGACCACTCAGGGGCTGGGCCAAGCATTTGGAAGAGTCCCCACAGAGGCTGCACCACGGACCCACTGTCTCCTAGGGCTGCATCCCTAACAGTCCTCTCCTGAAGAGCACAAGGATCCCGAGGACCAGCTGCAAGATGGTCACATCCAGCAGCAAGACAGAGATCCTGTCTCCTTCTGGCTCCCCTAGGCTAGGGGGAAGAGATGGGAAGGCCAGTGGGGTTGAGGGGTGAGGCCAAGCAGTAGAAGAGGGAAGAATATGCTTTTACCTTAGTTAGAAAGGCAAAGGGAACGCCTGCCCTGCTTGCAAACTGACTTTCTGGCTTCTCTTCACCCTCCCCGCTGGCTGTTCCCATCATCCCCACCACCCCCAGGAGACAGGTGCCAGCCCCACCCCAGCCCTGGAAGCCCTCTCCCACCTCACAGAGGCCCTCTCTGCCCACCCTGCCCCTGCCCAGGCACAAAAAAAGCGAGTCCATTTCCTCTCCCAACATCCTTTTCGGAGCCTTGTCCCCCAGAGCCAGCCCATCACAGGTCATCTGACTGCCACCTAGGTCCCCCTCAGCCCCGCAAGCCTAGCTCCACCCCAGTCAGCCAGGTCTGAGAAGGATGCCTGGGAAATTTTCAAATATTATCTGTTTGAATATTGAAAGGTTAGAAATCAAGCTAATGAATTATTAGAACAGCCTTGACAACTCTTCCTTCATAATGGCCTGCAGCAGGTTTGAATTTCAAACGTCTGGCTTCCTCTAATGTGGGCCCAGCTCACACCCTGCCACTCTGGGGACATATGCCTGCATATGGACCCGTAGGCCACCACATCCTCCCACCAGAGACCCCTTGGCCATCTTGTGCTGAGGGTGCCCACATGGGTGACAGTCCCTCCTGAGAGGACAAGCCATGGATGCAGGTCTAGGATCAACAGACCACAATCCTGGTGTCCCAGGTATGTAGACAACAGTCTAGAAGCAGGGAAGCTCTGGCATACATGTGTTGGTCCTATAGCCTCGCCCCCTTGGGGAGCAGCTAGGGGCTGGAGGAGGATCAGTGTGGCCCTGTGTTGTGTGCACAGTCCAGGGCAGGGCTCTCCTGACCCCTGCCATCTGTCTCCTCCTGTCCCTGGCTAGCTCCACCCCCCAAGTCACACCTGGCCTCCTCCTCATCTTAAATGAAGGATTTGCCTATCTTAGAAATAACCAGAATTTTAGCAGCAAGCATCAGCATGACAGGACCTGAAGCTTTCTCATTTACGTCCAGGACCTGGGCTCGCCATGGGCCTGGGCCCATCTCAAGGCTAGTCTCCCTGGACTTTCGGGGACCTCTAGGTCAGGGCCTGGTATGGGGCTCTTGCTGTGGGACTTAAGCCTTTGCACCCAGGCCCTCAGGGTGGTGGGCAGAGCTCTCCAGAACATGCCACACTTACGGGTTAAATGGACTGGTGTCCTTCCCAAAACTACTCCGTGATGAGCTGTGTCACCTCAAGGACACGGCTGTTCCCCAAAATGTAAAACAGACCTAAGGTGCTTGTGTTGTGGGGCCCAGGCAAGGATCTCCAGAAGCCCAAGGTTTGGGTGGAATCTCCTGAGAAGAGTCAGGAAAAATCAAAGTGCAGGACACAAAGGGGACTAGGACGTGCAGAAGCTACACGTGGCCTTGCTAGGTTCAGCAAGGGTTGTGAGGTGGCCAGGAGTTCAGAGGGGCCAGAAAGGAGCCTTTGGACTCAGCTTAAACAAGCAGGAAGGCTGCGGTTGACTTGACCCTGCGGAGTGGGGACAATGACTGGTGAGGACAGTGGCCAGCTAGCTGGGGCTGTAGGCCTCAGGTTCACTGGAATGGGTCAAGCCGTGAACTCTGCATGCAGGAGTGGTGGAGAAGGCAAAAAAGCCCCCCTTCCCAAGAGGTGGGTGCTGGTGGTATAGTGGTGAGCAGAGCTGCCTTTCAAGAGGTGGGGGTCAGAGCAGCTGGGACAGCTGCAGGGGAAGGAGGGGAAACCTGGCGGCCCAGAGCCTGCACACTGACACAGTGGCACTGGTTCGGTTGCTTGCGGGTGGAGGGTCATGGGAAGAAGCTTCACAGAACCACTCCCCTGTGACGCCCACGGGAAGTGCCAGGCACAGTGGGCAGTGCCAGAGTGAGGCCTGAAATCCAGAGCACAGGGACAAGGGGACCGAGAGAGAGCCCAGATTTGGAACTGGCCTCCCCAGCCTCAAGAGACGATGAAGACAGGGAAGAAAACAGAAGACACTGCCACCCACAATGTGCCCTGGGCCTGGCAAATGCCCCACTTAGAAGACACAGCCCAGGAAAGTATAAAAGGGGTTCCCTCTGGCAAGTGGGGTTCTGGCTACAGTGCGCAGACCCCTCTCCTTGCTAATCTTTCCAGTTCAGGAGGTCTCGGTGCCCTGAGATTTTACCCACAATTGTCCACAAAGTGGAGCCAAATTAGGAGACAGTTATCTCATTCCCGAGCGATAACAAGGTCACTTCAGAAAGAAGTGAGTGCAAAACCAGCAGGTCATGTTTGTGTAATTAATCTCTTAAGACATCTGGGTGCAGCATTTTAGGCATCTGTGATATTGACTCTATTAAGACAACCACGGTCTCCTTGAGCTATGAATTGATTATTTGTAAATCTCAGGAAAGTCATTTTCCTTATGTTAAGACCACCAGGACATGACAAGAACCCATGGTTGCCATGCAAATCAGGAATTTATTTGGTAACAGGTTTGACTTATTCTGTAAATAACTGAAGGAAATAAGGAAAGCAGATATATAAAACTAATGGATAAAGTTTGGGCTGGTTAAGGATATTTCTTCAATTGTTTTAAACAAAATCACAACAAGCCCAAGGCCACCCACACAAGTACATATTTAAGGTTACTAGAATTAGAAGTAGAACACCTTTTGGGTTGAAATTAAAAGGTAGGGATCTTTGCACTTGTAATATAATGAATAAAAATTCTTAAGATGCACAGGAAAGCCAAACCATCCTTGGGGACACATCTAAATTCCCAGCAGCCACAGGGTCCTCTGGGGAAGGACTTAGGTAAACCAGGCTCATGTACACCTTGGGTCACACCTTGTTTCCTTGGGATAAAACCTGTCCTTCAAGAGAAAAGGCCCATGCTAACAAAGAAACTGAGGCAATGTGCCCCAGGCAGGGAATCAGTGGGGTGCCCAGAGCCAAGTCAGGCTTGGGGACCATGGTGGCCCTGGCTCTGGTTCTGAAGAAACAGAGCATAAATGTACCCCTCTCTCCCCTTCCTGGCCAGGTACAAGTATGTCCTGGAATTTCCTTCAGAAAGAGGGCTATAGGCACTTGGGGACAAGCTAGGAGACATTTCAGAGAGACAGAGGCCCAGCTGCAGTCACCTAGGGATGGCTGCCTTGGGGACTGTGTGAGGTCACTAGGAGGGATCCAGCAGGGGAAGGGTGAGGGGACCCAGGCCAGGGCCATCCCAAGGGGTCCCCACTATCTAACTCCAGTAGAGGAAGCTCTCAGGAAGCCATGGGCCCCCTTAGAGCCACCAGGGCCACAACTTCAGCTGACCTGCCTGACTTGAAGCTTCTGAGGCCCAGCATGTTATGTCCCTCACAGGGACTGCTTTGTCTCAGGGAGCCCATTCAAAGCAACCCTACAGCAATCCAGGCCAGCTCAGGGCCTTCGGGAGCAGGGCTCATGTGGAGCAGCTGGATAATGGGAGTCAGGGAAGAGGACGGTGGGCTCTGGCCCTGGGAAGCTGGGGCCAGTCTGGGCACCCATGGGCTCTAGGCTCTCCCTGGGCCAAGGTTTTGGCAGTTCAGCCTGAGGTCACAGGATGGTGACCCCAGATCCATGGCCTGATCACAGAGACAAGCAGCATCTCTTGGTTCTAAAGGGAACAAGAATGGTCAGTAGCTGTGAAGAGAGGGCAGCAGACAGTGGAGGGCACCAGGGACAGAGCAGGCAGGGTGCCCAGGACAGGCCTGGAGGGGGCTGGGGGTTCCACAGAGCAATGAAGGAAGGTCTGGGACCATCTGGGGTCCAGCCCCACAGAGCAGGTGACCGCTCCTGGGAAGCAGCTGAGGGCCTCTGATGTCCCCAAGTGACCCTGTACTCCATACAGCCATCTACAGAGTCTTCATCCAGGGTGAAGAAGTCCAGGACAGCAGGAAGACGCACGAGGCCACATGACAGAGGAGCATCCAGGTTTTGGGGACAGGAGGTCATGAGGCCTCTGCCTGCCCAGCCCACAGGGTGCTGGGATGCACAGCTGCCCTATATTCCCTGCTGGCTGCCCTGTGTTGGCAGATCCACTTCTTTTCCCCTTGACCGCAGGCAGGGATGACCCCATCCATCAGCCTCATCCTTAGTTCCTTGGGCAGAGCTCCGGGGGAAGAGACAGCACGGGACTGGGGCACCAGGAACTATGGGACGCGAGTATCCACACAGAGGGACAACACGCCACAGAAACCTTGGGCCTGTTGTTTTAAATAAGAAATTTATTGCAAATATAGAAATTGATTCTCTCCATACAGGAATCTCCGAGTTGAGGAAAACAATTTCGTGCCATTCAGTTTAAAACAGGAAATGGGGGTGCGGGGCAGATGTAGGGAGGAGAAAATAAATGAAGTTACCCCCATAAATGAAGGAAAGGAGAGGGATCAAGGCCCCCAGAGGGAGAGAGGGTCCGTACACAGCTGGGGCTCACAGGTTCAGAGTTCAGGGCCTCGAGCCCAGCTCTGCGGGGCTCAAAGCAGGTGCCAGGCCACAGCACGCTTGGGGCTGGGGCGCCTGAGGAGGACAGGGACCCAGAGGAACGGACAGCCACCACCGCTGGGCCCAAACCCCTGCCCCAGGCCTGTGCATGCTTGGCAGAGGGCCAGGGGCAGGGAAGAGGAGGCCCAGGCCCTCCCCAGACAGCCCCACGGGACCCCCTTTTCCTCTTCCTTCTGCGAGCAGGACTGATTCCCCTTTAAGGGGGATGAGGAGGCAAGTGGTAGGAATGCCGACTCTGTCTTAGGTGCGAGCCACAGTGTCAGGGAGGGGCCGTGTCAGAAAGGACTGTGAGCTGGCCAGAAGCCCCTGCCCTGGGGTGCAGGCCCCTGAGGAGCAGCCATTTTTCCAGAGAGGACAGACAGCAGTGGGGAGGCGAGGCTTCGGATGCCCACCCCAGGCTCCCTACTCCTTGACCCAGCCTCCCACACCCCTGCAAAGGCCAGGCATGGTGGTGGTGGCAGGAAGGGGTGCTCAGCCAGCCACTCCAGCCACCCACTCCCCTCCTGTCTCTTCCTCACAGCTGCTGGCTCCTCTTCCAGCCCCTTGTGTCTTGAGGAACTCAGCTGCCCGCTGCCTCCTCCGAGGGGCCAGAGACCCCCCAAGCCCCTCCCCTCATGTTAATTCCCTGCACAGTGCCCACCACTGGGAAACATTTCCTGTCGGTCCCTTCACTTTATTTAGGCCCTTCTAAGCAAGGGCCTGTCCCTGTCTGGTCCTTGCTGTCACTGACTGTTTTCTCCAGGCTGGGGCTTTCCTTTCCATTCCTCTCCTATGCCTGTTTCCCCTTGTGTCAACTTTCCCAGAATAGGGCATAAGCGACTTCCAGTTGGCAACATCAGGGGCCCTGGCCAGCCCCAAACTCTTTACTGGGCTGTTCCCGAGGTATCGCTCTGAAATGCCCCATGCCTGGCCTTCCCAAGTGGGTCGCCTCACTGCCACCCCTCGTCCCCAGTGCTCCTCAGTCAGGGGTTCCCCTCTCCTGCTGAGGGCACTGTGGTGCGCAGCCAATCGGGGTCCTTCCTGTGAAGGGAGGAGCTGTCCACTAACACTAAGCTTCCTGCCTGCCAGACATCTGGAAGGCCATTAGCTCCAACAGCAAGGTGGCACACCTGCAAGGCCCTGCAGGAGAGTGTGCCACCCCCGGGGGCAGGCTGCACGGGAACGGGCAAGCCTAGCTGTGGCCTCAGTTGAGCTCTAAGCGGGGTCCACGAAGCAGCACCCATATCTTCCCCAGCTGGATCCCCCCAACTGCCCACATTGGGCCCCTGACCATACCCCTCCCTGGCCCCTCTCCCTCTGCCCCAGGTGCCACCGTTCCAGCCTGCCTAGGCCCTGGCCAGGACACATTACCCTTACAAACACAGGCCTCATGGGCTCCTAGGGGAAAATGCTCTTTTGTCTTTTGTATTTCACTTCTTATCAGAGGAGAAATCATCCCAAAAAGGATACAGATGCAAGGGGCTCTTCCCAAAGAGGCCTGGCCTGGGCGGCTGGGGGTGTGGCCTGGCTTGGGGCCTGGGAAAGGGGGTAGAGGCCTGTGTCTAGAGCCCTGTTCTGTCTCACGGGGAACGGTGAGATCTGATCATTCTGGGCCACTTGATCTCCCGGAGGGTCAGGGTTCCTCTATTGTAATGGGGCCCTAACTTTAAAGCCCCCTGAAGTGAGCTGGCCTGAGATTTTATAGGTCTCCAAGAAGGAATGATGGCAGAAGGGCAGACAGCACCCATCCTGCCACTGGGAACCTTCCTGGGGCAATGCCAGGCCACTGGCAGCTCCTCATTCTCCCCATGCTCCTCCCTCAGACCCCCATTGTCCATGAAACCCAAGCTCTCGGCCTCCTGTATCCAGCAATGACTGACCCCATCCCCCTGGCTGCCAGGGCACCTCCTCACCTGCAAAGTGGGAACGACTAGAGCAGGTGTGAGGGACCTCGCAGGCCCTCTCCACAGGGAGATAGGGCTGCCTTCTCCACACATCCCTATGGCCAACCTCCCTGACATGGAGGAGGGAGGGAAGGGTGAGGTACACAGAGATGAAGGGAGTGGGGAGGTGGCACTTGTGGGCCTGATGCCCAGAAAGACGGGAGGTGGGTGGGGGTCGGGGCTGTGTTTTGGTGGCACCTGTTTTGGGTCTTTCGCAGAGCTGGCCCCTCCCTGGGTTTCAAGAGCTGCTCAGATCACAACAGGGGGAATTGGGAGGGAGGTGGGGAAACTGGACAGACTGGCACATACACGACAGATGTTTGCTCAGAAAAATACAGTAAGATCATCATGCAAATATAACGGGGAGTCTGCTTCTCACGCCACTGGCTTCCCAGCCTGCATGTCTCCATTTTGCCACCTGGGTGTGGGGAGGGGTCGAGGGCCAAGTCTGGGGGTTGGGGGAGGTCTGCCTGCACATCCATGCCAGCCCGACTCCTCTGCTCCCCAGAACAGTCCCTCCTTTGCAAATGTCACCCCTAGAGCGAGCCCTGGGCTCAGCCAAACCCCAAGTTGATGTGACAGAGGTGTTCAGTGGAGACCCCCAGCCCTCCTCCAACCCCCACTCCAGCACTAGGGGCTGGTGGCTCCCCCAGGGATGGCACTAGCTTTCCTGGTCAGAGCCCCCTGCCCACAGTACGGGTCTCAGTCCCACCCCAGCATCTACCCTCACCCCACAGTCTCAGTCCTGTCTGGAGAAGCCCAAGAGGGTGACAGGCCAGGAGCTGGGGATCCCGGCAGGGACGTGGGGAAGCACAGAAGGCTCCCCCATCCCGAGGTGGGTAGGGCGCTGGGGGCACATCGGCAGGTGGGCAAAGCCGCCTGTAGAATCACCCCCCCCACACACACCTCCTACACAGGGGAAGGGACCATATCTCAGCCCCCCAACCTGCTGACTGCTCAAGACCCCAAAATTGCTCCTCGCTGGAACTTGTCCGCAGAAACCCCCCGCTCTTGAGAAAGGCAGCCACAGCCCAGCCCTGCCCTCTGTCACCGCCCTCCGCTGCCGCCCACACTGAGAGAACCCCAGAGCCCAACGGTTGGTGGCTCTGAGACCAACTGCCAGGCACCGGGTTGCCATGGAGACGGGCCAGCTAGGGAGGGGGAGGGGCCCTCAAACTCAGCCTGCTCCCCCCACCCCAGGGCAATGAGGGGACCTCACTGTTTGTGCTTTGTTCGATGTTGGGTAGGGGTCAGAGAGGAAAGTGGCCGTTTCCATGGAAACATGGGAGCCCCTCTGGCCAGGAGGTGAGGCAAGGATGGGTTGGCAGGCACCTTCCTTCCTGTGGGCAAGCCGAGACCTGCCCAGAGACCCCACAGAGGGGGCCAGGCGGGGCTAGGATGCAGGGTGCAGACGGGAAGCCCCCCACCATTCTATCACCTCCCTACTGCCCCCAGGCATCACACTTCACTGTCGTCCCTCTGGGTGGGTAGGGGTCCCCCTAGGCCCAGAGAAGCTGGGGGCCCGGGGTGTGGAGCCTGCACCTGAGATGCCATGGGAGCTGGTCTGCCCCCGCCCACCCCCAGGCAGCTCCCGGGCTACGTGGAAGACACTTGAAGGAGGTTGGTGGCCTGTCCTTGCCTCTGCTCCCTTCCTACTGGGGACCCCATAGGGTTAGGAGCCGCAGCCCGACCCTGAGGGCACGTCCATGGGCTTGCGAGGGAGGAAAAGCACCTGCCTGATTCTCGAATCCCTCAGCCCCAAGGGACCTCAGCTTTGGATGGGGCGATGAGTGGACCAGCTGAGGGGCCCAGGGGAGCAGTCGGGCAGGGGCAGCACTGGGCTGGGAAGGCAGGAGCCTGAGACTAATCTGCTGTGTGACCCAAGGGATTACCACTTCTTTTCCCTGGGCCATCCAAGAGGAAGGAAATAATGTCCATCCGGTGACCTGATCCCCATCTTGGGGGCTTCAGTCCAGCTCTACCTCAGTCTCCTTGGTCCCCAATCCCGTCTCTAGTCCCAGCTCCCCCGGCCCCACATTCTCCTGGCTTCCCCGTCGCCTGTCCCTGTCCCCAGCCCCATACACCCCGGCAGAGTCCCTGGGCAGCACAGTAAAGACGCCTGGTTTCGGTATCAGTTTGTAAACTTTAAGGAAAACGTGTCTTCGTTTTCCTGTCCATTATTGTCGGGTGTTGGTTGGTTCACAGTCAGGTGGTGGTCAGGTGTGTGTGCATGGTGCGTGCGTGCGGGTGTGCATGTGCGTCCACTCCGAGGCCCTGGCCCTCAGTGCACTGCCCCGCTTGGCCACCCAGGGCCCTTCCCGAGTGCCCCGGCCCTCCCCCTCCAGCCTCACCAGGGAGGAGAGGGTCACAGCTTCTGCTGGGCCGAGACCCCCTTCCAGTAATCGAGGATGTCATGCAGGTCCTCGTCCTTGGCGAACTGGACCTTCTTGCGCAGGGCGTGGCCAGCAGCCATGTACACCTCCTCACGGTGGTGCTTCTTGTAGGGTCGGAAGCGCTCCCAGATCCTGTGTGTGCTCTCAGAGGAGTACTCAGGGCTGGAGGAGTACCCTGAGTAGTAGTGTCTGGGGGAGAGCTGCGAGTAGGTGGAGTCTCGCTTGGAGCGGGTCAGCGGCTTGAGGAAGGACACGCGCTGGCTGAGACTGTCAGGGCCCTCCTCGTAGTAGAGCGCAGGGAAGCTGTGGCGGTGCTCGCTGCAGTGATAGGCAGGCTTCACCTCCAGGTGGTGGATGCCCCCACCCCCGCTGCTGCCCCCGCTGCTGCCCGTGGGCACCAGCGGGAGCCGGTCCAGCGGGCTGTTGAGTGGGCTGCCCTTCTCGATATACTTGGAGTCACCCTTGGCCAGCCCCGAGGCGGCCGGGTGATCAGGCACGTCCAGGCTGAAGACCTTAGCGCTCTTGATGGAGCCACTGGACGACACGCTGCAGGTCTTGCGGGTGACGGCGGCATCAGCGCTGAGCTGGCGCTGCAGTGGGTGGTGGGAGCTTTCTTTATAGGGCGGGGAGAGGAAGCTGGGCCGCTCCAACGCCCCAGGTGCGGCAGCTGTGGAGGTGGCAGTGGCCGCAGGGAGAGACTGGCACTCAAAGGCCAGCTCAGGGTCCCCACCACCACTGCTGCCCCCCAGGAAAGAGGCCGAGTCCAGTTTGAGGGCATCGATGCAGTTGTTAATGATCTGGTTCACCTTGTCAACCTCCTTGGCGATGGTGGAGATCTCAGCAGCCGAGCCCTGGCCATTCTCAAGGTCTGGGAGGTCATCCGCGGGCCGAGCCAGTCCATCGCCCCCAGCACCCGTGCGCACCTCAATATAGTTGCCTTTGGTGGCCCCCTTGGGCGTGTCCAGCCCAGCCTCCAGCCCCTTGGAGGTGGGTAGCTTCTCGCCAATCATGGACGGGATGGAGGACATTCGGGCCACAGGCAACACAGGGGGCTCCCCCAGCTTCTGGGCGGCATGGACGATGGAGCCCGCGTCCACATCGGCACCGTAGCGCATCTCCAGGATGGTCTTCTTGACGTTGACGGACTTCTGCTTCTCCTCCTGCATGCGCCGCTTGCGTAGGCAGTAGTAGACGGCACCCAGCACAATGACCATGCCGAAGAGGCAGCCCAGGATGGTCATGATGTAGTGCGTGGTGGTGGAGGTGCTGGGCGCCAGGTCGCCGGGCACAGGGTCCCGGGTGGTGAAGGTCAGGCAGGTGTGGTTGAAGCGACGGCTGTTGCGCAGTGAGGTCACACAGAAGGTGTATTCGGTGTGCGCCCGAAGCTTGTCCAGCGTCACGATCTCCTTCTTGTTCTTGAGCGTCATGACGTCAGAGAAGTAGCTGTTGTTGTACTGGACCAGGACATACATCTTGCTGTAGGGGTGTGGGATAATGACCACCAGGGTGGCCGAGGTGAAAGTCACATGATGCAGCTTAATGGCAGGCCCTGTGGTCGCATCTGTGGTGGACGAGGCCGGCGGCTCCACCGAAAGGATCTCGTCAGGGTTGAAGCCCGAGTTCTCATCTGGTTCCCGCTGGGCGTCGGTGGAGTAGGGCGTGGGGTGGCTCACAGGCCGGGCAGGCAGCGAGCCATTTCGGCATTTGGCCTGCAGGACGGTGATGGCATTGAGGCTGTGGTAGGGCCGGGGCACCAGCAGTGGGTAGCCGGCAAACTCCCGAGGAGACTCGCACTGCAGGCGGTCGTAGTTCTTGGTGACATTGTTGAAGACCACGAGCCAGGCGAGGAAGCCAAAGAGGTCACACTCGCAGTTGAAAGGGTTGCCGGCCAGCTCACACACCATCAGGCTGGCCAGGCTGGCGAAGGTGGCGCCGTCCAGGCGGCTGAGACGGTTGGAGGACAGGTCGATGCTGATGAGGCTCGGGCACTCGGAGAAGGCGGTGGGGCTGACCACCTCAATGAGGTTGTGCTGCACGAAGAGGAACTGCAGGCGGCTCATGCCTCGCAGCATGCCCTCTGTCAGGTTGCTGAGCCGGTTGTATCCCAGCTGCAGGACCTGCAGGCTCGACTGGCCCAGGAAAGCGCCATCCTCGATGTAGGAAATCTCGTTCTTGGTGAGGTTGAGGTCGGTGAGGTTCCCAAAGCGGTTGAGCGAGGAGTAGAGCACAGCCTTGAGCTTGTTCTCATTCAGCCGCAGGTCATGCACAGTGCTGTTGATGTGCTGCGGGATGGTCTCGTAGGGCGGCTGGTTCTGGCTGCAGATGGCCAGCCACACGTAGCCCTTGTCCCCCTCGATGAGCCAGCAGTCTGCGCGCACTGCACCCGGCCGGCACACGCACAGCAGCGCTGCAGCACATAGCCCCAGGCGCAGCATGGTGCGGGCCTCAGCCCCCTGGCAGCCAGGCAGGGGTGAGGGGCCGGAGCACAGGGATCTAGAGGCCAGAGGCTGGGGCTAGCAGCACAGTCCTCCCCGGGGCCGCCACCATCTTGGGGGCGACCCCCGGCATGGGGATCCCAAGCAAGATAGGCACGGCCGGTGCCAACTGCTGGGAGCTTTCCAAGGGTCTATAAGCAGGCACCAGGCCTGGCTGAGGTGTGGGGCCCACAGTCAGCTCCCCAAGGTGCTCCTCAACTCCTGCTGCGAAGGTGCACAGGGTCTCAGGGCCAGACTTCCTCTCCCTCCTCCTCTTCCTCCTCCTCCTCCTCCTCCTCCTCTTCTTCCTCCTCCTCTTTCAGCTCTGGGCTCAGAACTTCAGACGGTTCCCACGGGAGAGCAGGGTGCAGCTCTGGAGGAGAGCAGAGAGACGAGGACAGGAAGGAAGAGACCCATCTGTCACCTGGTTCCTGAAAGGCAGCAGCGAGGGGGTGACTGATCAGTGCAAGGGCCCAGACCAGCCCATTCGAGCTCCAGCGCAGGCCCCAGTCCCTCTCCATACTGCTTCCTGGGGGCCTCCGTGCCATCGAGCACCCTAGGGTCCCTGCTACATAAAGGAAGGGAGGGCAGGTGGGTGGCAAGAGTGGGAAGGGGCTGGGGGAGAAGCAGTGAGATAGAGGTTAGTGGCATCCTGAGGACCGAGGACAAGGATGGGAGGCAGGAGAGGAAAGGGTCAGGTACACACACACACACACACACACACACACACACACACCCAGCACACTGGTGTCCACACTCACCTGCTGCCCTATGCAAAGACCATGTGCCCCTATGAGCCAGCACACCCTGGCACATACACATGGACACAGGCAGGTACACACACACACGCACACACACACACACACACACACAAACACCTACCATCTGTGTACATGACAGACAGGCCTCATGCACAGGTCCACATACCCAGGTGGGCACCCCAAATCCAGAAAGAGAATTAAGAAGCCCAGCAAAATGCTTCCTTTCTCCATGCCCAAAGATAAATAATTCATTTGTTGTGTAACTGCTCTTGTTCCAAAAATAATTCCCTTGTCTCAGCTTCTATGGGGGAGGGGAGCAGAGTGTGGCGGCTGTGGGCCCCCCTCACAGGGAGATGCAGAGGCTGGGGGTCTCTGCAGGGCGAAGGTGTGGGGAGAGTTCATCCCACAGGCTGCACTGAGCCAAGCGCAGGAGAGTAAGAGTTCAGGGTCCCAGAGACGCTCCCCAAGGTCACCACCCCAGGAGTACTTTCCAGTAGGGGCCCCTGATCCAGAACGGGAGCCTCAGACTTCTGAAGCAGCATGGCCCCACAGCCCTTCCAGAGCTAGAGAGTCAGAGGCTCACAGAGGGACAAGGACTTGCCCCGAGGAACATGGCACAGTCTGGACCAGGAGCAAGGCTCTCAGGCACGGTGAGCCCAGGCCAGAAGCTAGGAGGCCTAGGGCCCTGTCTACCCAGCCTGACTAGCCGGGGCAATCACACCATCTCTGAGTCTATTTCTGAATCCACAGAGCAGGAACCAGGCCCCTTCCCGACCCCGTCGATGTGGGAAGAAGTAAAGTGATTCACGCTGTCCATCTCCAAGGCACAGAGGGTGACCCAAGGATCACAGCCCACAGACCACTTGAGCCAACCTTCACTTCCCAAGTAGGGAAACTGAGTCCCGGGCCAGAGGAGGTATGACCAGGGCCCCTAGCAAACCAGACACACCCCCTTGGCCAGACCCAGCCCCCACTCCCACCCTGTGTTCTGGACACAGACAAGCCCAGTTCTCACACCCTCTTCCCTCCAAGAGGCCCAGGAGGTGGGAAGATCAGAGAAATCCATGTTTGGACAAGGAAGGCCAAGGGCTCTTCATCAGATCCTCCTCCACCGCCCACTCCTTCCCCTGGGAAATGCCAGGAAGGAGTGTGCTTAGGAAAAACACGTTAAACCTGTGCTGCTAAAGCAAAACCAATTTACAGCACTGAGGCCCAGAGGGTGGACAGTGTGGGGAGGAACCCAAAAGAAGTCCAGAGTGGGCAGTGCTGGCTGAGAAGGTGGCAGGTGACAGGGTGTCCAGATGGCTCGCTGGGTCAAAGACTGGTGCCAGGTCTAAGGCTGGAAGGATTGGGACCTCCAAGGCTGGCCTCACACCTCCCATCCCCTGCAGGGCCAGTTGGGCTGTTATGAGGCGGCAGGTGGCAGACACTATCACTGTCCTTGGCCAGGCCACACAAAGCTTTCAAGGCTGGACAGACATTGGCTCTGGGATGGCATGGCTCACAAGGTCAGTGCTTGCCCTCTCTGGGCTTCAGGGTCCCTTCCCAAGGCAGACGGGCTTCCTGGGGGAAGCTGAGCCCCCAAGCTCACAGCTGCGGGATCCAGGAGCCCTTGGTCCACCCCTCCTCCACCTGGGAATGTCTGGGGATCACATTTGTATGCAGGTGCACTCACAGGTGTGCAGCTGGCTCGGAGCAGGATGCAAGGGTGTACTGACATGAGCAAGAAGACAGCACACAGGCAGACGTAGCAGGCATGTGTGTGCATGTCCACAGGACATGTGCATGTGTGATCAGCCGCAGGAGCACATGCAGGCTTGTGGAGGGAGCAAAGGTTCAAGGCCAGCATTCTCTTGGGAATGCAGGTGAGCACCTCCCTGCCGACCTGCCAGGTCTGTGCGTGCGTGTGCCACTCTGCCACGCCCACCGCCCCAGCCCACTATCTCTCCTCGCTTCTGCACTGCTCAAGCCAGCCTCATGGTAGCCAGGCCTGGTTGTCTACTGAGGCCTCAGCCTGCCCCTCCTGTCCCTCCACTCGGACAGACAAAGATCGTGAAGCCCCCAGCCCAGATACTCTGAGCTCTGTCCCTCACCCTCAAGGTGACCTTGCTGGTGGCCTCTCTCCTGCTCCCCAAGATGGCTTGGGCCAGGGTGCAGCTCCCACATGCCCTGTGACTCACTTGAAGGGGAAAGGCTCCCATCCCCCTGTCCCGTGTGTGTCAGCCACCCTGTCCCCGTCCCTGGGCTGCCTGCCCACCATCCGCCGAGGCTTGACGCAGCCAGGGAGGGGACAAGGAGGTCCAAAAGGCGCTGACAGTGCACCTGGCCCCTGGCCCAGCTGCTCGCCCACTCAAGGTGAGGTGTGCAGGGAGGTGGGGGTAGCATGGGTTTTATCGGGCTGGGGGAGGGTTCAGGGTCCAACAGGCAAGGTCATGCTTTTCCCCTGCTCCCATGAGGGCCGTTCTGTAACACACATGCTGATGGGGAGCAGAGCCTTAGCCTAAACATACCTGAGGGCTGCAGAGAGGGGCGGGGACAGAGACAGAGAAAAGCAAAAATCCTGAGTCAGCAGGCCACGCAGGAAGACAGAGAGAGAGAGAGAAACAGAGAGCAACTGAGGCAGAAGAACTGCCGCAGTGAGATGACAGATATGGGAGCAAAGGAAGGGACACAGGCACCTGCTGCCTACCCGCAAGGGGTAGGGAGACAGATGACACCGGGCCTGGCTGAGCCCTGAATGCAGCCTGTGACCAGCCAGCGGGAGGGGAAGCACCAAGAAGCAGCTGCTGGAAAGCCGGGACCCCGTGGTAGACAGCATCACACCCAGGTGGCCTGGGAGGCATGAGGCCATGCAGGGAAAGGGAAGCCGGTGGCTGGCAGGTGACGTGTCCCCGAGCAGCCAGTGTCCACAGAGACCAGAGCTCCGGCTGCCAGGCTGTGTGATGTCCCCACTGGTGGGCACATCCTTGGATGGAGACGAGAGAGAAGAGCCAGGGAGACCAATGGGCACAGGCTGCTTGATGGCCAGAACCGCCAAGCCACTGGGCAAATGCCTCCCCCTTGGCAGGTGACCCAGCCAGGGGTGTGTCTACCCCCAGGTGCCACGAGGCCCCCTGTGGATTCAGAATCCTAAAGCCTCCAAGCTGGAAAGCTGAGGAGCCATGGCTCAGCCCAATGCCAGCCTGTTAGAGGGGAAACTGAGGCCAGGACAGAGGAAAGGACATGATCCGGGTCCTATGCCAAGGCGGGAACTGTGCAGACACAGAACTCAGGGTAGCAGTGACAGATCCCGATCGGCCAACCCTGAGTCCTCCCTGAGACCTTACTGTCCCCTGATAAGGGTTCCCCCACCACCAGCAACTCACCCTGGGACACTGGCCATGACCCTTGGTCCCCTCACCAGAGAAGCAGGGTGAATACCCACCCCTCCCCAGTGTGGCTGTGCGGGGACAGCAGCTACGCAGTTAGTGAGCTTCTGTCTTCCCAACCCTTAGCATCCAAGGTTCAGGAGCCCTAGACCCAGGTTCGAGGAAGCTCTGGGTCACAACCTCCAGGTCCCCACTGCAGGCTCAGCTGGAGGGTACTCCCGGGGCTCAGCTACCCCAGCCCCCTGCCTGGGCCGGGCGGGAGGATGGACAGAGCAAGGCGGGCCATGTGTCGGGCCTAACTGCGGGCAGATGGAGCCACAGGTCAGTTTACAGAAGCAGGTAAAGGGCACTTCGGTCTGGGTTCTGGGCTCTGCCTGGGAAATCCCATTTGCGGCAGCTAATAAGCCCTGGCACAGGCTCCCCCCGGCCAGGCTGGCCAAGGCTCCCAGAGGTGGCATCGTCACTGCCCGTGTCAATGCCACTACCCAGGACTGGGAAAACCGAGGACTCCTGGGCCCCGGCCAGAAGTTGCGGGCAGGCAGAAGCACAGTACAAGGCACCGGGGCTGAGACTGGCTCCCACCACTCTGCCCTCAAGGACAAAGCCTGCCACCCTCTCTGGTAGACTCAGGCCTAGGGGCTGGGCACTGGGTCTTGTTGCTGCTCCCACTTTACAAAGCTTCCTTGGGGCGCTGCCCTGGGCTTTAGTTTCTCCTCTGCCAAATGGGGGGTTATGGCTTCACCTTTGAACTATTGCTTGGTAAGATAACCATTTGGATTTCAGGTGCACTGAGCTCCAGCTGCAAGGCAGAGGGGGAAAAAGCATTGAGACTGGAGGCAAAAGATCCTAGGTTTGAATGCTAAGCTGTATGACACTGCCACATTAGCTAACCTCTCTGGGCTTCGGTCTCTTCACCTGGAAGATAAAGGTAGGGTGACCTTTCCCAGTGGATCATTTGTGCATGACATTTTATGTTCCTTGTGTTGTTTGTCAGCCCTCCATGGCTGGTGCATTGGGCTCATTTAACAGATGAGAAAACTGAGGCGCTTTCCTCTGAAGAGCTGGACTCATGGCAGCGACTGCACAAGCACTGGCCGTGGGGTGGGGGTGCTTTCTCCTTCCTGTCAGAGGAAAGTGGTGCAAGCAGCAACTGTTCACAAGCTTCAGGAGACTGGCTATCAGGAAGTGCTTATTCCAAGCCAGCTGCACTCCCACCCCAGGCCCTTTGCACATGCCATGCTCTCTTCTTGGAATGTTCTCCCCTGGTGTCCTCACTACCTTGCTTCATTCAGGTCTCGGAGCAACTGTTCCCCATTCCCACCCCTGCTGTTTCCAACACCAGATCTTCGCTCTCGTGTCACTTAGCCAACTTGACCAATGCTACCTGGCCTCGCTCAGTTATTTATCATCGAGCCCCACCCCCTTACTCTACCCCCGGCAGAGAAGCAAAGCAGGATTTAGCTTGCTCAGCCATGTGACCCTGGGCGGGGGCTAGGTACAAGGTGTGGGAATGCCAGCTTGGGGCTGGAGACCAAGAAGAACGCCTGGAACAGAGCCAGGGTCAGGATGCTGGTGGCCAGCAGGGGAGCCCCACCCAGACAGGGTGCTGGGGCTGTGCAAGACACAGACGAGGAAACTGAGGCTCAGAGAGGTGCAGTGATCTGCCCAAGGTCACAACAGCAGGACCCCAGGCCAGCCTGAGCCGACTGCAGGGAGGACTTCCCACGCTTGCATGCTTCCAGCCATGGGGCTCTCAGTACCAGCCTGAGGCTTCTCAGTCCCTTCTTGCACTGTCTGATTATTAGAGACCACTTCTCTTAAAGCCTCCCTGTAGCTCTTCGTTGGTCCCAGCCTGCTGTCTGAAGCCACTGGGAAAGAGACCAATATCCCCACAAGGCTCTTCCCACACCTGCTAGTCTGTTACCCTGCCCTCACCGGGCAGAACAGCCCCGCATCCTCCACCTGCTGTGCTAGGCTGTGGCACCCAGCCCTGCCCACCTGGCTCCAGCTTGCTGTCCAGGTCCCTCCGACACTGTATCACCAGCATGGTCTGAGCAGTGAGTGGCACTCGCCTCCCTCCGTCTGGCTCTGATGTCTGTCAGTGCAGCATGCGTGTGCACAGTGCTTCGTCTTTACCTTGTCCTAGATGTCAACCAGACCCCCCGGCCCCGTCACATGCACCACCACACAGCCCCAATGCCCGCAGAACGTCCTTGGGCCTCTCCAGGCTGGGTCTGTCTAGGTCTCCCCGAGGTGCCGTCCTGCCACCCCATCCCATCACGTCTCATTAGTCCCACCCCCGCACCAGCTGCTCTGGGTCTCTGGGGAGCTGCCCTCTGCCCTCGAGGCCTCGGCACCCACTCCTGCCTGTGTCATCCTGCAGAGCAAGCAGGCAGTGGCCACACCATGTTCAGGGACACGAAGAGCAGGCCTGAGCCAGGAACCCCCAGCAGCCTGGCCCTGGCCGGGGGGTGCCTACCATCCAGCCAGCCACCCGTGCCACTGTCCTCCCACGTTCTGAGAGCCAGGAAGACAGGCCACCCCTCCCAGAGCTGCCAGCTCCCTCCAAGAGCTGAAGAATGACAGTGTCAGCAGAGACAGCCCTGGGCTGGTGAGGCCTGGACGTGCTGAGCCTGGGTCCCAGGTCCACAGCCTCCCCCAAGGGCTGGGACTGCCGTGGAGCGGGCCTGGGGGGCTCCAAGAGGTACTGCCGGAGTCAAAGACATCCCGCACCTGGCTTACGGTCTGACCTACAGCAAGCCAGGACCTTGCCTCTCTGGGCCTCAGTTTCCTCAACTGTTTGGAGAAGAGCATGGGTCTCTCTGGCTTGCTGGGCACGCCTCTCCAAGCCTCTGCCACTGTCCCGTAGGCCACCTGAACTCATCAGGTCCCCATGGCTCCCCGCTCCCAGCACATCACGGCTGCCATTAGCACCTAACCACACCCAGGCCTCCGAGGAAGGGCCAGCATGGGGACAGAGATTTCTCTGAGGCCCAGGCCTTGGCCACGGCCCAGCAGCCTGACAGGAGGCCCGGCCCTGGATCTTCGGGCAGCTCTGAACGGCCAGTCCACCACCACCAGGCACGGGGACAGCAGGCAGTCCAGCACCAAGGGGACCCTATAGCAAAGTCCACCCCGATGCCACCCCAGGAGTCTCCTCCCAGCTTTCCCGAGCCCGCCAGACTATTCCGGGACTTCCTACCCACACCTGATCCTCATCTCTCCTCCCCAGAGTCCCAGCTCCCCACTGACTCAGCCTCCCCTCATCACCCTGCCCTTGCCCCACTGGACCTTTACCCCCTCTGCTCCCTGCCCTCTCCCCATTTGAACTTTACTCCGACCCTTGCCCTCTCCCCTGACCTTTACCCTCTGACCCCTGCCCTCTCCCCTCTTGACCTTTACTCCCTGACCCCTGCCCTCTCCCCACCTGACCTTTACCCCCTGACAACCCCTGCCCTCACCCCACCTGGCCTCTCCTCCCCCACCTGGCGCAGTGGCAGCCCCTGGGTGCTACTCACCAGTCTCCACTGGACCCGCTTTCACCAGTGCCTGTGCACGCACGGCTGCCTCTGCCTGCATGGCCTCCATTCATTCATTCAATAAACATTTATGGAGCACCTACTATGTACCAGGCACCGGCTAGGCCCACCCCCCAGCCCTGCCTCCGCCAGCTGCTCCTCCTCCAGCGTCCTTCGTGGCAGTTCCCTGCCTTCCCACACCCTCTGGGCCGTCCCCAGGCAGAGAAGCAAGTCAGGGCCCACCGGAGAAGGGGGCTCTGGGCAGGGAGCTCGCTGACCTCAAAGGCTCCAGGGAGCAGCGGGAGAGCAAGACAGCTCTCCAAGGGGCCTAGGCGCTTCCCAGTTCCTGTGTCCACTCAGTCCTCAGCACAGCCCTGGAGTCAGAGCTATCACTATCCCCACTTTACAGATGAAGAAACTGAGGTCTTCCAACTGCTACGTGGTGGCTTCCCCTCCACAGACAGGAAGCATCAGGCTCTGGCTCACAAGATGCTGGGGCACCCTGTCAGATTGGGACAAGGATTACATTTTTCATTTTTTGTTAGTGCCAATATTGGAAACTTGGGAAGTGTTATTTTTTAAATCCCCCTTTCCGGAATAAGCTGTGGCTGCCCTGGGTCTGCACTGTGCAGGGCAGAGCAGGGGCCCCGTCCTTCACCCCGGCTCCCTGGAGTGGGGTGTCCTGGCTCCTGGGGACCTGCAGAGTGTGGACAACTAAATCCCCACCTGCATGGGGGATTCCATGAGCCTCCTGTTCTGGGACCCAAGGGGCCACAATCTCCCCAGCCCACTTCCATCCTGCCTGGTTGACGGCTCTGACTTTCGAACTCTGGGACACTGACAGCATGGGTCTTTTGTTTTTAGGGGTCCCTGATTCTTTTTAGAGGTCTGGTTCTTGAGAGGAGGTAGGATGTATCATGTATCTATGAATGCTGCTGAGTCCAGGCCTCTGGGAGAGGTCACAATTCTCCATGGTCTTAAGCTCCCCCAGGCTCTGAGCAGGCCTACGGGGGTGAGGACCCCAAGTCAGTCAGGAGAACACCCCCAGGGCCTCCAGACTTGTCTGGCACTGTGCAGGGCCCACTGCTCCCCTAAACCCCAACAACACTGCCTGGGTCAAATCTGGGGCCCCTGCTGGGTCTGAACAGAAACAGGAAGACCTGCCTGTGGTTTTTGCTGCACTCCAGGCCCCCGAAGGCCTGAGGCCTGGCTGCTGAGCACAGCCCACACGGAAGCGCTCTGGGGGTTCTGGGATGGCCCTGTGCTTCACCATCCCTCAAGCTGCCTGTGCCCTTATTCTTCCACCAGGCCTCAGCACCCTACGCCCTGGAGCCCTGTGGGCCAGGCTGAGAAACCCCTCACAGGGCTGCAGCCCCATAACTTTCTGTCTCCTCACCACCTCCAATTAGGGTCAGTCACAAGGGGTCAGCACGGAGGCCGCTGGCCAGTGGGAAATTCTCTCCTAGGCCCTGAGACTGATGCCCTGGAGGGCGGGAGCCACCCCAAATGGAGGCTGCAGCTGCTGCTCTGAGAACAAGGAGGCTCTGTCAGGGCCAGGGGCTCCCTCAAGCTTTGGAAATGCTGGGGGAGGGCCACCAGTGACTGGCGATGGCTGGCTGGGCAGAACAGAGGGCCCTGAACGATGGCAGCTTCCGTGTCCACCAACTCCTGGTGGCCAATCCAACTTAGGAGCTCCTGGAAGGGGAGGGGCCACATCCCCTCCAATCCAGGCTCCCCATTTAGCCATGGCTCTGGCAAGCTGCTTCCTTCCCCTGAATCTCAGTGTCCTCTCCTGTAAAATGGGCAAGAAGGGCACTAGCTAGAGGGAACAGCCACAGAGCAGGGTCTGGCACACAATAACTGCTCAGTAAAGTCAGCTGCTGCAGATATCCTCAAGGGCCCCTTCCAGGAGTGTGGGACATGCCTGGCACGTGCAGGGCCTCGATGCACAGCTTTCACATAACAGTGAGCAAGGCTGAGGCCTGGCTCCGAGCAGCACACCCTTTTGCCTCTGTCCCTACCCCCTCTCTGAGGTCCAGGCCCCTCAAAAGCCTGCTCCCTCCCCCCGCCTTCAGCCTGTTCCCGGCCTCGGTTTCTCTCCCATTGCCAAAGCACAATGGCTGTTATAATTAACGGATTATCTCAGTGCGACAGCTGTGGTCCTTTGAAAATTAGGTTGAATAACAAGATCCTGATGTATGGTAATTTCTTTTCATCTCTCTCTCTCTCTCTCTCTCTCCCCCTTTTTCTCTCCCTCACTTCAGCCTTGTTATGCATGCAAATATTTTTCCCTCCTTCACAAACACCTTCCCCCTCTGGGGCCTCCTCTTTCTTGGGATGACTTAGGTCCTGACTTCCGGGAAAAGCCAGGGGCTGGACCCTCCCGCCACCTCCCACAACTCCTGGAATTCAGGATCTCTGGAAGACCTAAGCCCACCACCTTCCTCCTAGAAGTGCTATCACCCTGGGTCGAGGACCTGAACCCGTCTTTCCCCTGTTCCCTGTCTCTAAGCATGGCCCTCCTGGAGGTCCTGGGCCCAGCTCCCAGCTCTGCTCATACCTGCCTCCCCTATGACCATCTCAGACCCCCAGGGGGGGCTCCTCTATCAGCCTCAAGCTGACCACAACCAAACAACCATGTCCCTACTGTCCCCTGGCTCCTCCGGGCACCTAGAACTCCACCCATCACCCCCACCACAGCTAGGCCTGGACACCCAGCCCACACTGCCCATCTGCCCCTAACAGGCTTCTCTCCAGCCCCAGACCCATCATCCACCCAGTGCCCACACCTGGGAGGGCTCTGTACCCACCGGGCCACTGTGCCTGCTCTGGTTCTGCCCCCTTTCCAGCACCTCACCAGGCTCTCTGCTTCTGATCCTATGGCCCAACTGCACCCGCCCCTCACCCTGCAAGGAGAAGCTTTCTACACCCTGAGACTGAGCATGGCACTCCTGGCTGATCCGGGAAAATTCCAACGCATCCAGAGCCCACCCACATGGTCCTGCGGGAGCTGGCACCTGCCTCCTGTCCTGCCCTCACCTGGCTGGGCTCCCACAGCCCCTGGTCTCCCTCCTCACTGGGGATCCATAACTACAGTTTCCCCCAGGGAAGGGCCTGGCACCAGGCCCCCAGTAGGTGCTCAATAAATGTGTGTTAATGAGGGAATGGAGAGGCCCGTCCTCCCTGGTACAGATAAAGAAACCGAGGCCCAGAGTACTTCATGACTTGCGCACCATCACACAGCTCATCCAAGACAAAGTCAGGATTTGAACAATGGTCTGTGACGCCAATACCAGCTCTTCCCACTTCCTGGGCAGGGCCTTGGGTGTCGGCTTCTGCACAGGTCTCAAGGACTTGAGGCCCCCAGCCTCAGTTAGATGATGAGGAGACAGGCTCCCACCCTATGCTGTTGGTTGCTCAAGTTCAACCCTGGCCCAGCAATGTGACTCTCAGGCCCTCAATCTGTCCGTCTGTAAAGTGGGAAGGAGCTCAGGTCCTAGAGAAAGCCGGCCCTGCTAACAACATTTGGGAGCTTCCTACCCTCACCCCAAACTCAACTCTGGCAGGCACCTCAGGCCTTTGGGGTGGGCAGGATGGATGAGCTTACACAGAGCAGAGACCTCTTTGGCATGGGGGTCGGGGCTTGCATCATGACCTTAGGCAAGAAGCTTCCCTCTCTGAGCCTCAGTGTCCCCTTCTGTGAATGGGGTCCAGTAATGTCGCTGATGGGGCTGCATGAGGACTAAGGTGGAAAGTGGCCAGCTCAGTGCTGACAATGCCAGGGCCACACGGCTGCAGGGCCCTAGGGTAATGTACCCCAGGGAAGGCAGGGGCTGCCCAGGACCAACTGTTTCTGGCTCTCCCTCAACAGCCTTCCATGGCTCCCACTGCCCCAGAATAGCGCTCATGCCCTACCTTGTGGCTCTCAAGCCCCTCTCTAAGCTCATACCTTACCCTATCCCTTCATGACCCTGTGAGGTTTCGGGGATGCCCTCTTCCTGTCTTTCAGGCCTCTGCTTATGCAGTTCCTGAGCCTGGGGAGCCAAGGCCACCTGTAGGGCCCCCTGAGGTCTCAATCTTATACCTCGCCCTCTCAGAAGCCTCCAGAGACATCTCCTCTGCAGAGTGATGGCCTCCCTGCTCTGTTCCCACCCCTGTGATGCATGCACGGCCTGTGGAATCCTGAAAGGCTCCTAGAAATCATCTCTCCACCTCACCTCCTCCCATTTTACAGGTGGGGAAACTGAGGCACAGACAAGGAAAAGCAGCTCTCCAGTAATGCACTGAAACCCTTGTCTCTGCTGCCCCTAGCCTTCCACACCGCTCCTCCCCCAGTGCCAAGCTGTTGGGCCCTGGACTGTCTCTCCATGCCCCCCAACCCCAAACCCAGAGCTACCTGAGGACCGGGCCCCACTTTCCTCTCTGCACCCCCCACCCCAGTGCCTAGCCTAAGGCCTGGCGCATAGTAGGCACTCAGTAAATGTCTGTTGAATTGAATTGCGCTCAGGGTGGCCAGTCGTCTCTGCTCTGTAAGAGAAGCATAGAGTTAGTGGAGCTGTTCCCATGGTGACCAGGACAGGAACCATGCTGCTAGGGTGAGGAGTACGACCTTCCCCAAGGACCCCATGGGCCCTGGAGAGGGGGCCTGGGAAGTGAGAGATTCAGACTTCAAGGAGTCCAAATTCTGCCCCAGCAGGGAGGCAGCGAAGCAGTGTAAGTCACGCTGCCCCTAGGGCCATGATGGCCTCATCTGTCAGGTGGAGGTGACACTCCAGTCCCTCGGGTGTGAGGACTCTGCATGATGAGGACCAGAGGAGATGTGAGGAGTATACACAGGCTACTCAAGCACAGAGAGCTCCGTGCCTGCCAGGCAGGAGACTGGAGGGAGTTGCATCCATTCTACAGATGGGGAGACTCAGGCTGTGACGGGCTGGTTCACCCATGCCCTCGATCCGTGCTAAATACAGCTTCCTGCAGAGCTGGAGGGAAGCGAGGCGTGACAACAGACCCAGACAAAGACACGGGCCCCCAAGGCTGGTCCACGTCTGGCAAAGACTCTTCAGGCAAAGGGCCCAGCGTGAGCCCAGAGCTGGCAAGGCTAAGGTGAGAAACCGTGTTTGCCCTCCCCATGGGGGTGAGCTCTGAGTCTGCAGCCCCCCAGAGCGTTCAAAGCCGACCTCAGATCGCAGACTGCAAAGCCTGAGCGGGCCCTTGCGCTAATATAGATCAGTAAGGACTATAAATACATACACAGGTGGGACACCAGGCCGGTGGTGGGGCAGGCAGGGGTCCAAACCCAGCCCTGCCCAACAGGCCCCCCCTTCTGTGCCTCCATTTCCTGGTCCATGACAGCAAGCTGCACCATGGCCAAGATTGCTAAGGCTCTTTATTCAATGACCCAGAGCTCACAGACCCTGGGTCTGTGAAGAGTGGGCTTCAGGCCGAGCCAGAGAGGGGGAGCAGGAGAGAGACTCCAAAGCAGGCTGGGCCTCTCTGGACCTTCCCAGGACAGTTACACTTGGGGCTGGAGTGCACAGGGGCAGGGAAAGAAGCTGGAAGCCATTCATCCATCCATCCATCCATCGATCCATTCATTCACTCATCAACCACTCTTGGAGTTTCTCCGACTACAAGCTGAGATCCCACAGCCAAATGACCTGGCCTGGGGAGCACACACCAGAGAGACAGGGAGATGGACCAGTCCCCAGCCCAGCTCCTACCACAAGACGCCAGTTTTACATCTACCCTATGCCCACACCAGGGGATCACTGAGGATGGGGGCAAGGAGGACATTAACCCACTCTGGAAACTCAGGACCCACCCTGGCGCTGTGAGCCTTTCCATCCCATCTGGAGCTGGAACGATGAGCAGCACCCCCGGAGGAAGAAGGAGGGCACCAGGCACCAAGCGGAGGAGAGCCAGGAAGGGACCGGAAACAGCCCTCCCAACGCCAGCCCACAGAGCCTGGGCCCTGCACACTTAATACACAACAGCGGGTTGTGCCCACTGGAAGGATGAGGAACCAAGGCTGAGTAGGACAAGGGACACACCCAAGGGCCCCCAGCTAAAGTGGCCCTAACACCCATAGCTCCCGGACCCAAAATGACCCCATGCACCACAGTTCGGCATCTCTGGGCACTCAAGAAATGCATGCAGAGTCTGGGATCCCCCAAAGGCCAGGTGCAGGGGTGGAGTCAGCACCCCAGTTTCTCACAAAACTTCAGTATAGGGGCCGGGGATTTAGCTCAGTGGTTCCACCGCCTGCTCTGCAAGTGCAAGGACCAGAGTTCAATCCCTGGTACCAAAAAAAACACAAAAGACTTCAGTATGACCCTGAGTGACAGACCTTCTCTAGTGGAGAAACTAAGGCACCAAGAGGGCTCCACCCCACTCCCCCTGACAGTCACAGGCAAAAGGTGCAGACCTGGCCTTGCTAGTGGGTGACCTGGCTGGTGACTGGCCCTCCCTGAGCTCGTGTCCCCAAGACCCCTCTCCTCTACCCTCATGCAGTTGCTGCAAAAAGCAAGGTGCAGAGCTCTAAGAGACCCCCTCACTGTAAAGTGCTGTCCCTACTTGAGGGAATTTGTTTGTTACTGTTCTACTTTCCCTGGCTCTTCTCGCCACCTCTCTACCCTCTCTGCTCTGAAGGCCGTGATGTTTTCTGTCAGATGTGCACACCGAGCCCATCCCTGCACAAAGGGCTTGTCTCTTGTCGTCCTAAGAGCCAGGAGTTATTTCCTCACACTCCTCCTACAGAGGAGGAAGTGGAAGCTCAGAGAGGTTGAGTGACTCATTCAAGATCACACAGCAAGGAAGTGAGAGCACTTAACCACGACCCTACGTTTTCGCCTGAGTGCCTATTCAGCGCTCCATGGCCACCAGAGTCCTCTGCTTCGTTTATGTCCACCTGCTCCTGGTTTATCGAGCGTCCCAGATGTATGCAATATTCATATTTCCATCAGCAGCCACACACACACCCTCTCCAAGGCCTCCAGGAGCCCCATTAATCATTCAGACACACCTGCATATTCATTAACTTCCAAATTAACACAGGGTCCCTTATTACTTGGGGCCTGCTGCCTGCATTAAAGACACTTCGACTTCATTCATTATTAAACTCCCCTTATAAACGATCACGTCCCTCCTTCACAGAGGGGGGCAGTACCCAGACCCCCAAGTCCACAGGTCTGCTCCCAGAACCAGCTGCTGTGTGACCTTGATCAAGCCCTTCCCCTCTCTGGGCTTCCTCCATGTTTACCCGGGAAAATCTGGCAGACAGTCTCTAAGTACGGTCCAGCCTCATCAGGGTGGCCCTGTTCCACTCTGTCGCTTTTCCCTGTGTCTTTCTTGAACTCACATAATCCCTCTACTCACCAGGATGTGGGCGGGGGGGGGGTCCATCCCCTCTCAACTCTCTCACCTTTCCCTCCAGCAGCCTCCACTTGCACTGGGGGCCTGGGGCTCAGGTCCTCGATCAGCCCACCACCTCAAGGACCTCACTGGTCCTGGGCTACCTGGCTCTGCAGACCGAGATGCCTTCCCAATCCAATCAGGGAGGCCAGATCACCCCATGGCTGCCCCAGGTGGACTCCTAGTGCCATACAGCGTTAACAAAACAGCAACCGTGGCACCTGGCACTACTGAGGACACAGCCTACCCGGGCCTGGTGCTCTGTCCTGTGTGCCATCTTTGGAACAACCTCACTTTATAAAGGGGCAACAGGCCAGGGGGGTCAAGGTCAGAGCCTCGGAATAGGATGCAGCTGGTGGGGAGCCCAGGTCTCTCACTGGGACGTGAGTGCCCCCCATCTCACAGGCTCGGTCCCACTCCCTGGCCCCATCCAGCCCCTCCTTCCCCCACTGCTTCTGCTCATGCCCAGCCCTGCCTCGTGGAGCTGGGACAGCACAGATAGCCGCCCTCACTGGCAGATGCCCTGACCTATCTCCATGATGCCCAGTGCCCAGAGAGCCTTTGGCGGAAGCATCCTGACCACTCCCCGTGCCGCCCCTGCCTTCACCCTCATCCAGTGTGGGACAGGGCACCACCACCTCGTCACCAGCACGCCGGGCCTCCCCTCCCACAGGGCAGCCTGAGGCCGTGCTCCAGCCCGCTGGCTGTGTGACTGTGGGTCTGTAACCAAACCTTTCTGTGCCTCCACTGGTCAGCATCACGCCCAGCTCTACTCATCTCTCGTCTCCACTTCTCCCTGACCCTGTCCTGGCCACACACCCGAGGAGCCCAGGCCCTGATGGCTCCAGTCTAGACAGCAGCATCCACTTTCCTGGGCCTCAATACTCTGGGCCCTGCCCCCACCAACCTTGCTGTGCACCCACTGAGGCCCACGCTCCCAAAGCCCTTCTGGAAGCTTTCTCAGTCCTCAGGGTGAAGCCAGAGCCCTTGCCCCAAGCTGTCCCTTGCCTTCCTGCCCTGCCCTCCTTGTCAGCTTCTGTTCTTCCCTGACTTCAGGCCAAGAGGCTAGCTCCCTGGGTCAAGCTCACGGTGGGTATGATCGAAAGTGAAGCCCAGCAGAGCCACGGTGACCATGGACAGCACATCGGGGTCACTGTGAGGAAGCACTCACACCTTGCCGGGGGTCAGTCCTGCCAGCCATGCACTGGACCGGAGGCTACAGGCACAGCCCCTCACTTGGTAAGCAGAGGTCTCCAGATTCACTTCTCAGATGAGACTGAGGCTCCAAAAGACCAAGGGGCCTCCCCAAGACAGGGCGGGGATGCAGAGGGCTGAGCTTCTCTCTCAATGTCCACTAGGAAAGACCCAGAGGGAAGTCCGGAGCACCCAGCTGACCACACACTCAGCCTTGAAAAGCACTTCACACTACAGACTCCTAGGAAACCTCCAGGGCCGGGAAGCCACCTGGCCAAGGACACACAGTGAAGCAGCTGGCAAGCTTTGACTTTCAGGCTGTCCTCCCCAACCCCTCTGCTGGGGTCTCCTCTCTGGGGTCAAGAGTACCCCTAGAGCTAAACCTGAGCCTCCTCCTCATAAGGGGGTGGACAGGGCAGCACAGAGTTCACTTGGGCAATGGCAGTGCCCAAACTCATAGCCTTGCTCACACATAACCTGGCCTTGGCATACAAAACAAGTCAGAGGGCTGCAGGGCATCACCAAAGGGTGGGAGGCCCAGGGCAGGAGGCAACAAGTAAGGGGCAGGGTCCCGACTTCGTCCACAAGAGCACCACACAGCCAGGGCGTGGCCACAGGGCTGGGCTGTGTCCCCAGGCACCCACACCTGACGATCCCTTGGGGTGCCTCAGGACCCCAGAGGAACTGCGGCCACGCAAGAGGGTGGGGACCCAGAGGACACGCAACCTCGCCCCCAGATGGTCCGCAGCTATGACAGACACCACAATGACAAGGATTTAGACAGACACCTGGCACCAACGCACTGCAGAGTTCCGCAATTAAGGACGCTTCCCTGTGACGTATTTTATTAAATAAATAATGTATCTAATTTCTCTAATAAAAAAATCCAAATTTGGGCCAGGCGTGGTGGCGCACACCTGTGA